AGCTGCCTTTCCTCTAGTCTTACACTGCTAAATTAGGGACGGCTAGCGCAGATAGCCCTCGTGCGTGAAATTTAAAAATCAGACAAACAAAGCACTATCTTTGGAATGGATTTTAACCCTACAATTATTGTTATCATATTTCATATAGTGCCCCCCCCCAGAGGCACAGCGGCATGTCTGCGGACTTACAACACTAGAAACCGGATTTCGATACCCGTGGTGGGCAGAGCACAGATAGCCCATCGTGTATAGCTAGACTGTTTTGTGAGACACAGAGGATTAAGTTAGACCTTGTTGAGTATCGTTATTAGATTTGTCGTTAGACACAACAATTTTAGAGGTGTCTGGGTAAATAAGCTAGCCAAACTACTTTTTGAGGGAAAACGTTATAAAACGCAAGGAGAATGCCATATATCTATCATGTGAAAAATAAACTATACCAGTGTACAATAATGTATTGATGGTTTACACTGTGATTGGTTGTCGTCCAACCAATCAGAAAGTGCCACACCAGTATTAATTCTATAAAAAACACATGCAGTTATGCTACGTCTACTAGAAGTAATGAGATTCTAGTCACGATTCACAGGACTGAAATACCGTTTGACAAACGTGTCGAAATTAAAGTTTGGGATGGTCAAGGATACACCATGCCAAAAAACAATGCAGCAAAACTTCGTATTTCAGCAGGAGCTGTATGCAAGATTCAGGATAAGTGAAACTGACACTGTTAATGATAGAAGTGATGGGATAGAAAACCGAAGTTATCCAAAAGTAATGCTGTGTATCTCGGGGTGTATTCTGTACCAAATCGACGACAGCCGAGTACAGACAGATCTTGCCAACTACCTTGCTGTCAATACAGGTATGAATCGAAAACAGTAAGATACGCATTAGCGCAGGGTGGTCTCACTGGACGTGTAGCTATTTGAGAACCGTTCTTGGGCAAAGTAACCAAACCAAAATGGACAAAGTTGAAGATGTAAACTCTTTAAACATTAATCCAAAATCGAATTGTTCGGCAACAGTAGACAATTTATTCAACGGAAGAGAAAGAAATGGTAATATACTCAATGTTCAACATCCACAAAGAATCAGTGCAAGTTTAGGCCTACGGTGTCGGTGATTTACAAAAAAAAAACTGATGGCACCCTGACTGCTGACAAGTACAAGCATGTTCTAACTCATTATGCCATTCCTTCAGGAATGTGGCTCATATTCATCTTCTTCCAGCAGGATAATTATCTCAAACCTACAATAAATATGGTAAAACATTATCTTGACATCAAAGAAGCCAATGGAACACTCATAGCCATCGCTTGGCCTGCATAAAGTCCCAACATGAATATTCTTGAGGCTCTATAGACTTATTCAAAATGCTAAAAGGCGACTAAATTGTGGGAAGTAATATTAGACATTAGAAACGATATTCTGTAATCAACCATTGACAAGTTGTAAGGCAGCATAGAAATAACGTGTAATGTCCTATCTAAAGCGAAAGGCTCACATACAAAATATTAGTGTATTGCACAAAGCTTATTCGCCTATCTTATGCATTTTCCGAGATAATGATTCGTAATATTAATAATGTTTACCATCTAGTTGCAGGTACTCCTTGTTTGTGACTTCTGTAGGTGTATCGCTAGTGTGTTTCCGTAATTATTTCTGATACTGTTTATTATACAAATCGTTCAGTAGACTTGTTAGGATAATTCGAGCTATATGTTTGACAGAAGCCTTAGTAAATGAGTTCAACTTTACGCTAACACATTTATGAGTTACCTACATTTCCGGAGCTGGATGAATAGATTAGTTTGATTACATCCTAATCTTCACAGAGTTGAGGAAGACGTGCGTGAATGAGTTCATCTGATAAATTACCTAGCTGCATCTGCTTCTTCTGGATCACGTATTGCAGGTGTATCTGTAAGGCTAGACTACTTTATCGGAACAGTATCTAATTATATAGATAATGTTTCTCCAAATTGTTGAATTGCAGGCTGGCCTGGAAGGTTAGGTCAGTTTATCATAATAACACTTGATTACTTAATTAAACCATTTCGTTAGATGCATTTCTTGCAAGTGATTCTGGAAGATAAGCTAGTTTATCGAATAGTATATGGTGTTCTTTATAAGTTGATTATTCAGATACACGGAGAGTAAGTGAGCCTAATAGGTTAATTTATCGGAATATTGTAACCATCTGTCTAGTCAAATTATATCGTCACATATAAATTTCAGATGTTCCTGAAGGATTATGCTTATTTGTTATAATGTTCCTTAATCAGCTTACCAGAATGTTCCTCGAGATAGGCGATAAGAAGACAGATCTTGTAGACAAGGCTAGTTCATCGAAATAGAAATTACAAGTTAAACTTATGTTAAAGTGATTTTGCTGACAACTAAACCTCGAATTGGGAGACTAGTTAACACACTTAACAAACAGGTGAAGACTGTAGAATTTATTGATTTTCAAAGGCGATATATCACTGGACATTCAGTATGTTAGAATTAGGGCGAAAGTAAGAACTGATAGATTCTCATTTCGAAGCTTCTTCTTAGCCCTGAAATGTGATATTACGCTTATCGCTGAGCTATGAAACACAGTTAAAACTAATAAGTTATCAGAAACGTGTTGAGCAATAGCGTTAAGTTCGAAAAACATCTAGAATTACAATTCCAAAAATAAAATATTAATGTATTTTGGTGACTTTCAGAGTAAGGGCTTATGTGTGTGTGTATGTGTGTGTGCATGTCAATACCGTATTTTTTGTATGTCAGTTTAGTTTAATCTATATATTCGATTTCAATAAAAGTTAACTTTAAGAAAAAAAACTTCTGCAGTTGTTCCATTTCATTCGAAGTCATGAAGCTGATTTCATTAAGAAGTACTTTTTAATTGGTGTATTAAGATGATTCCAGTAGATTGTTTTATTTTCCTCAGATCTTCCCGTTCTTTCTGTTTGAATAATGAGCCTAAGCAGAAAGGAGATCTTCAGTTTCCAGATACGCTTCCCGGAGAGATGTACGATGCAGATATGCAGTGTAAACTCCAGTTTGGAACCAAATCTAAACTCTGCAAACTTTATCATGAAAAGGTTTAAAAAATTATTTTTATTTTTTGGGGGTAACGCTTAATATTTTTTAGATTTTTTTATGTTTTTAACATGCTTCTATATGAAATTGTTTGTTTGTACTTATGCATAAAGCTCACAATCATGAAGTCTACCTGTGAGGAAGAAACGTAGTGACAACATTCACTAAGACCACTGAAAAACCTGTATGTTTCATATAGCAATTTTATTCAGTAAGACTGTCTCAAACCTATGTGTCTCACAAAGTGTTCTAGCAGTTGCATTCGTCAAGTCTGCCTGAAACCTATGTGTCTCACAAAGTGTTCTAGCAGTTGCATTCGTCAAGTCTGCCTGAAATCTACGTGTCTCACAAAGTGTTCTAGC